GAATGGATGCTGCAAGAGACCCTCTTAGGTAAGCTACACAGTCATCAGCCCCTTGCTTTACTAATAATGTCCGCTGAGTATTTCATGAGTGTGGTTTTCTGTAATAAAGATTATAACATCCTTAAGGTTGAAGGTCTATGGCTTGTGAGTCTTTGTAACTCCTCTAATGGCGCTGGAAACACTGCACAACTCAATAATCTCCTGCTGATCAATTCATTGTTCAAGATGGGTGGAACAAAGAAATGTTTGGATACTGCCCAACCACAGCTGGAGAAAGCCCATGAATAATAATAGAACTCCCCACAATTCGTGGCTTAACCCATCTTCGTTGGTGAAATCCCAACTAAGAACACTGATTTCATCCCAGCTCCTCTCATTCCACAATACAGGGCAGCCAAAGCCAGGGAGGAGACAGAAACGAGGGACTCAGATCATTCAGTTTAGAGGTTTATTGAGTGTTAACTCCTTTTTGGAGAAAGCTGTTTCCCTGACTCTTCCATTTGAAGGCTGAAATGGAGAGTGACTTTTATGGCATTAGTCAACACCAGGGGGCAGGAGAGAAGCAGTATGAACGCAAACAGGCACAAAAGGATGACAAATGCCATGGGTATGAAAAAGCTTCCGACGCAGTTTGTGGCACTTAGCCGGCAGGCTACACATGCTGGTTGAATCTGGAAGTTTTAAAACTCTTGAAAAATTATTTCTTAATTACAAAAGTCATCTATGTACACTGTAGAAAAATGTTTTAAAAAATACAAAGAAGCAAAGCAACAGAGATCTTCAATTATTCATAATCTCACCATCCCAAAATAAGCACTGTTAACGTTTTAGTAGAGCATATTCTATATTTTAGGCATGCACACTTTTGCCCCCAAATGGGATCACCATAAATTCTTCTTCTTATTATTTTTTCTATAAATTTCATTGGTCACATTCACTTTTTAGCTCACTATATAATGATGGGTGGAGGAAAAGATTACCCAGGGTTCTAATTTTGGCTGTGACCTAACCAGCCCTGGCAAGTAGCTCAGCTCTCTAAATTTTAGGGTCTTCATCTGTGAAAGAAAGAGTTTGATACTTAATGCATCTTCCACCACTATCATTCTAATTGATGGGTAATTAAATGAAGACAGCATTGTGCAGTGATTATAAATCCTAGATTATAGGATTATAATCCTAGATTTCAGGGCTATAACCCACCTATAATCCTATCACCCAGAGATAATCACTGGCATCAGCCAAGTTCTAATCCCTGCTCCACCTGTGGGATCCTGGGCAGGATTCTTGATCACCCAGGGCCTTAGTTTATTTTGTTTTTTGTTTTTTTCCCTCTAAAATGGGATTCATAACCGAGGGTTGTTGTGAGAATTAAATAGAACACACACACACCACTTAGAACAGTCTTTGGCACAGAGCAAAGGCTCAACAAACAGTGGTTATCATCAATATTTTAGCTCAGGCAACAGGCATCCTGAGGCGACAGTAAGAATGAATACCGAGGAATTCAGTATGAACTTGAGAACTAACATGGATTGGACACCCGAGCTGGGCATTGTGCTGTTTGCTCATCCACACAATCTTATTTCATCCTGAGAACAACATTGCCTCTCCATTTTACACGTGAAGCAATCGAGGTTAGAACTTGCCTAGATTCACGCAGCTATTAAGTGTCAAACCCAAACCCCTTTCCGCTAGATTTGGCTGAGCAAAGAAGCTAAAAGACCTGCTGCTTGTTAGATGTTGCATTTCAAAAACCAAGCATAAGCATCTTTCCCAGTGATATTCAGCATGAGTTTTTTGTTTTTAATTTTTTCCCTTCACTCTAAAAACTTCACTTGAACAATGTGCAGTTGGACGGTCATTTAAAAGACACAGGGCTTTTTGTATATTTGAACTGACGAACGGACATCTAAGTTAGTGAGCAGAACTGGGACGTGGGTTTTATAAGAGTCATTAATGCTTGCTTGACTTAGACATTTAATTTTATGGTTGCAAACGTACCCGAACTGAACAAAATAACGAAACCGTAGGGAAAGTAACTGGCTCTGAAGACCCGTGAAATGGGCAGTGTGATTTTCCAACACTTTTGATTTCCACATCCCTACCCAAGGACGTGAGAACCGAGTCGAGGGATTTGGGTTGACCAACGGCCCTGACCGGCCCAGTGAGTGGACAAAGGCCAGTTCATTTCTGGCTTCAGTTGTCTCTTGCAGGGAGAAAACTGAAGGAGAGACCGAAATGCCAAGCGCCTTTTCGCTTAGACGCCGCCTCCCTGCTGGCCTGGGCTCGCACCTTCTCCGGTTAGCATTTGTTGGAGAAGCCGGTGTCAATCCCGGCAGCCGCGGTCCAGCGTGCGGTGCGTTGGGGGGGGGATCAGCCTAACCACAGACACGCAGCCAACTCCGGAGGGCGCAGGCTGGAAGCAGCGCGGATACCCCGAGCAGGGAACAACGTGAACGTTTCCAACCACCCATCCCCCCGCACTGAGCCACGACTTCCGAGCTCAGGTTCAGCCGCACAGACCCACGCG